AAAAAAAAAAAAAGTCTCTAAGAATGTGGAGAAATCCCAAAATAGAGTTCTGTAAAAATGTATGACAATTATCTTTATAAGTCAATATCTTTATAAATCGCCTCTACTGTAATTTCTATAATTTTAAATCACTGCCATTGAATAGTGATATTTTATACTGAATTATTGTGCACCACTAGGTAACTTGGCCTACCAATACATGGCCGAATTGGTTCCAATCTCTTCCAGTCTGTTATAACACTGATGGTGAAATTTGAAGGAATGCATTTTAATCACCTGGCCTGCGGCAGGGTTGGAACCCAATCACTTCACTACACTGGAATTCACCAATTGTAGAAACTCACTGCATGCCTTATTAAATGATTTTTATACACCGTTGACAATGGAAGAGACTGGAATACCTGGTTTTAATTATTTGCATTGGTGAGCAAACACTTTTGGGAATATAGTACATCCTGGAAAAAAACAATTCAAATGTTTACACTTTTTACAAAGATTCAATATCTGATCTAACATCTGATCGACTACGAGAGCAGATCAATCAACACTCTAGGTCGGAGAAACCACCTGGAGGTCATATTTGCTTAGCTTTATTTCTCTTGGGTATGAGTAGATTGTACAAAGACTGGTTGCGAAAGGGTTTATAGAATACCTCCATGGAAGATTCTGTTTCTTTATGCAAATAAGAAAATGGGAGCAAAAAGACAAAAAAAACTAATAAAACACAATAAACCCAGATAGAGAAAGTTGAAAAAAGCTGCAAGAACAGAGTGAACTTATTTTGATTTTAAAGTCCTACGGCATAGAAAAGCTTTTTTCTGGAGTATACATAGGCCTTGGCCACCATACAGATGTTGGTAATGATTCATGTCTCATGACCTTGAATAAGGATCAGAATCGTTTGATCTGGTTCTCACACCAGAATGGAGTGACACCCACATTAGAGATGATGTGACCAGACTCACAAAACAAGAAAGTAGGATAAGAAAGGAAAGATCGCAGCTAAGGCCTCTAACCTGATAAACTTTATAACCATTTCTCGATAAAAGTAATTAAAAGCTGATAATGATTAGGTTTAAACTGCAAAAGAGGAAAGGAAACCTTGCAGGTGGATTTAACTCTCACAGACAGATGCATATGATCACATATGAAAAATCTTTATTTTAGAATGTTTTAGATAGAACAGTGGAAAAAAGAACCGATTTACAACAAGAACCCTTCAAGTGGTAGAAAGCAGATCAGACAGTGCAAACTTTACATTTTCTAATCTCCTCTGCCTCTTCTAACTTATCAAAATGAATCCCATGCAGCTTTAGTTGACAAATTCAATTAATCATTGCAGGAGGACATCAAATATTTGCCTGAAACCAAGCTATAGTAATGAAGCATGACTGATGTGGTTATCTTCTTGAACCACGGCTGTGGCCTTTGAACGGGTTGTCCTGCATCAAATTAAAAGACAGAAAAAAGAAAACAGGAGTAAAGACTAATTAGTTTACTGCAAAAGCTGCCACAGGCAAATCTAAATAATCTATATAAATTTAGGGCTAGTTTTTTTTAAAGCTTACAGGATCTAAAAATTCAGAACAATCCCATTCATTTATGTTAACATTCCAATTCCATATTTCCTCATACCTCCTCATCGCTGTCATCAAAAGCAACTCCTCGAGAAGTCTGGCTCTGGCTTTGAGAACTGTACTTTGGGAAGGATGATGTTGACGTCACAGATGGTCTGTTTGATAAGAAAATTGTTCACTTAGAATTCAATTAAGAAGCAGTAGGTAAAAAGCATCATGTTAACCTTTCTCTCCCAATGGTGCATTTCCACCCAACACAAATTATGCGAATGATTCGACTGAGCTACTATTAACATGTTATCCCCAAGAAGAGTTGCCTTTAGGAACGAAGTCATGCAAACGAAGAATTTCTAGTCATGCAAGTGGCGTGATTAGGGCAATTATAGGGAATTGAGAGCCAAGCAAAACCCACCATCAGTTCAAAACAAAACTCGCTGGAGTTGAAAAATCTTAAAGGTATAGTGGAGGAAGTTCTTTTTCCAGGTGGATCATCAAAATAAGTGGTCCTTCTAATTGTCAATCATTCTGTCTACGAAAGGCCGTCCTACGTACTCGTCCCCATTTTCACCAATCGTGGCGAGTGACATAGTGGAAAAATTGCAAATCTTCTTTTGGAAAGTAAGCTTGTATGATCGATGCATACAGCAACTTTTAAACAGAGTGTGCATAAGGAGAAATGGGCTTGTGCACGTATAATAGACATTCCCTCTCGGGAGCGGGTACAGGGTTGTGTATGTGGATTTCTTTTTTTAAGTGGAGAGGGCGGGTCTTTTAGAAATTTGCTAAAATACTCCAATAAACTATTCTGTCACAACATATATTGGCAACCAAATTAGGAACTGGGTTTGGCTCTGATGTAGTGTAAGGAGTGCAGCGGAGCAGAAGCTTTTTAAAGATCAATTAAATGGAAGATTAATTGCTCATGACATATCGAGTGAGAGTCCGCAGGCAAACAAACATGTTGTACTCGCATTTGGTGTGAACTCACCACAACCCATCACATGTTAGATTAATACAAACCTTGAAGGTGGCCTGGTAGCTTTCATTACAGGTATATCTTCATCTGAGTCATCGATGATCACCTGAGCATTGTCAAAAAGCAAAAAATGGGAGTACAATATTATATTTAACAATTGTCAAACCTTCAGGAATATTTTCACAGCAACATGGTAGCTACAAATGCTCTGCAAATATATGTCTACATTTTAGGAAAGATATGTTTTTAAAGTGAAATTTATTAGTGACTCCCAACTCACTCCCCTGTGAACATCCAGGGGCAGGACATCGTGCAGTGGAGAGTTTTAAATACTTGGGTGCTAACGTCAATAATAAACTGGACTGATTTTTAGAACGCTACAAAAGCATATATATATATATAGGTATGCAGGTGCATAGAGAGGGGGGACTGCATCCAAGAGTAGTTGATTAATGTGCAACATACTCAGGAAATCAGGTGCATTTTAAACATTATTTAGTGCAGTTTAATTACATTTATGAAGTTTGACAATGCATATAATTCCACTTACTTTTGGATATTTCAGAAATTTTACTGGCAGCTGATTATTTTTTTTTTTCCTGTCTTTAGTATGGGGTATGTAAAACTTCAAACACAACGGTGCATTTAGTTTATCTTCACAAAGCAATAATCCCCAACGGAGGACTTGGATTACTGATCAATTTACCTCATCAATAGCAGAAGAAGAGGATCCTCCAACGCGAGATCTTTGGGATGAAGCCTGAAAAGCTGAGAAATGGAATATGTGACTCATATGGCAAATAGAAGAAATAAAATGATTTGAAATATTTATGTAGATTCCATGTTAACGGTGATAAATAAAGCTTTCTCAGTACCCTGAAATATACTTCTGCTTTGAGATGCTGGTGCTGATTTCTGAGAACGCCCCCGACCAGCTGGCTTTGGTTCTGCTGCTGTGGCTCCTGAATGGACACAAAGAGCAGTGGAAAAAGGATGATGAGTAAATTAATTTGGTCAACCTAACAGGTCAACTAGTGTTAAAATGAGACAAAAAAAAACAACTTTAGATAACACAAAAGATTAAATACTGCAAGCTTATTTAACCATTTGCTAGGTGACATTTCAAGGCCCGGTGTCGTGAACTCTACTATGTCGAAATAACTCCCCGATGAACCCATGCCTGAACTACGTACAGAGACCATATATGCAAACTTCCAGCTGGTTTCCCTATTCAAATTCAGAAATGAGGAACTGGCTTGTAGATAAAAAAAAATGCTTACACAATGGAATTCAGTGAGATTCATCACACATTTAAAATGATGTCAACATCTTTAAATTACACCTACCGGTAATACACCACCAGAATAAAATAACTGTTTAAGTTCACTGAAATCAGTAAAAATGTCTCCACCTACATAAAAAACAAAGCTGATCTAATGATAAATGTGATAGCATTACTGTCATTCTACATGTTTGAAACTAATTTGTAACAGTCAAATGGAGCTAGCAATATTTCTTAAGGTCATAAGTAATAACATATAATAAAAACAAATACATACAAAACAATGTAGATACAAGCATACTCATATTCAGACAGATCAGAAAGAACACATTTATTTAAATAAGAGTGAAACTCACTGGATGGTGGATCTAATGAAGAGTTAAAAGGTCCAACATGAAATAAATATAAAACTGCACAGCTGTAGACAGCATGTCTGCTACACAGTAGGCTAATTCAAATAAACTGATACCCTGACTAATTAGTTTGTAATGTCAGCTTGTGTTTATTTTGGAGCAGAATTATTACCGTACATTTTATTAGTCGTTAAAAAAAAAAAAAAAAAAAATCACTTAAAATATAAAAGGGACTTTTGACTCTATTTTAAGTATGTACTGTATATAGATAAACTTGTCATCACTGCAATAACCGGTATGCTTATTGCTGTCATAATATAATACTGCTATATTTACTCAAGGACAGGGAGACTAATATAAGTCTGAGTTTTATTAAACATTTAAATGGGTCTACAAAGCTGTTTAGATATTGAAGTAAAACTGTATTTATATGATCATCCCTATCTGCTTCTTAGGAGCCACTCAAAAAACAGAAAATGAAGTAATGTGCTTACTGCAATGATTTATAGGCTATTTTTTCCTAAGAAATAAATAGGAAGCAGAATTAGCTGGAAAAACTACAATCTGTGCATTTGAATTTCCATGCTAGTTAAATTACAACGAGGCCGCTTTGGTAAAAGGGGAAACTTTGGTTTTTCTCTGCTTTCATTTCTTGGAATTTCTTTTATAGCCCAATTTAAATATTACAGTACATATTACAGTACAATACGTTAAATAAAGAATAGCAGTAAAATGGATTAAAATTAAATGACATTTACATAAATATTTATAAAAAATCCTTTTAAACCTCATGTTCTATCGAAACAAAATGAAAAGCTATGAAGATTAATTTTGAGTGAAAAATTATTAGCTATTAGACATATTAGAGGAAAACAAAAAGCGAAGAGGCATACTTTAGTGCAACTCTTGTATCTGTTTGTTTAGGGATTTAAAAACGATTGGCCTAGCCAGGAACATCTTATACAGCCAGTCTTCCTTAATTGCAAATTAATTTGCGAGGTGTTCACAGAAACATAGTTGTGATAGTTAAGAAATGATATGTTTTTATCTGCATTATTAGAAGGAAGTTATGTTTAAGGAGTGCAGGTGGCGCAGTGATTAGCGTGCACAACCCATGTAGCCCTTAGTCCTCGACCCGGCCAACCCGGGTTTCGAATCCGACCTGTGGTCCTTTGCCGCATGTCTCTCCCCCTCTCTCATACCCCCTTCCTGTCAACCTACTGTCGAAAAAACAAGCCCCTAGTGAAAGAAGTTATGTTTCTGCATCATAACCAGATTATGAGCCTCTGATATTCCTACACCCCAGCAGATGTGTTGCTTTTCGAGCGAAGTCTGGGTTTTCTGAAGCCTTTACGCAGTTTAATTAATAATTTTTTTTTACATGTTCATAATTTAGTGGCACAAAAGAAAAGTATGAACCTCCCAAGAAAAGGAAAAGGAAAGAAGGGTGTTTAACACCAGAACTCCCAAGGCTGTGACTTTGACGGTTCTGAGATTTTAAAAGGGAATTTATTTACTTTAATCATATGTTGCTCATGTTAACTTACTTTTCCTGCTTCTATATTTCCTTCATTTTCACATAGTTGTTTTTAATAAAATAAAAACGTAAAAAAATAAATATGGCTATTTTTACCTCGATCTCACACAGCCTTCATTTGACGGCTCTATTAGTTGCACTGTAAATTCCTCTTGTTTCTCTACTGTTGCCTAGCAACCAACATCTACCTAGAACTCTTTGGCTAATATGGAAAAATGGCTTTCAGAAGAAATTTAACAGCGATTCAAAATATTTATGATATCGATTCAGGCGGAGAGGGAGAGACCGATGAGTAGAACTAGTCTGTAGGAAGCAGCCCAGATTCTGTTAGCGAGTCTGAGGATGTTCACCTACAGGAAAACGCAGACGTATCAGTGACCCATCAGACAACAGTAAAACTTTTGTTCAAGCTTTGGATAGCACTGCCTACACGAGCTGGTACACTCTGGTGTATTCTGTAAAGCCTCCAAAGCGAAGGTGGCTTGTGGCTGTATTTTACCTTCTCGTAGCCATAGCAGCAATAAACGCGTTGGTTTTGTTAAGGACCTGTTTGAACGTCACTGTCTCATGCAGAGATTTTATCCGTAAACTGATAAAAAAGTTGTGTGCAAACTGCAGGTTACCAGTCCCTCCACCGCAGTAGAGCAGCTGCACAAAAAAACGCTCATATGACATTTCTCATGAATGTGAAAACATGGTTGTTCAGGGGTAACCAATCAATTTCTGTAAATAAATTGTCATTTCAAACTTTGAACCTGTGTAGTTAAACAGTCTTATTTTACTGTTTTATTTTTAATACAAATTTAGACCACAAATAATAATAGCAAACAATAGAGCCTTTAAAAAATAAATATTTGACCTGTTTTAAGGTTTACATATCCGCAATGGGTTTATATCGCACACTAGAAGCATTTTAGTTGATGATATCATCACTACTCATGCGTTCCATTGGGAAATCTGTCACGCGTCAAATTGATGGTCAGAGGGTGCTCTATTAGTATCAGAATTCTGGGAGTCCTAGTGTTAAAAAGTCATTATCTTTAATTGACCCTTTAACTTCATTTAACTCATCTCTCAAACAAACATTCCTTCCTTTTCAGGATGAGAACATTTTCAAACCCTGAAAGAGTGACAGCTGGCCTGGAGATGGGTGTAAGCCACTGACTCATGATGCTGCTGGGCCATGGTTTTGGTCAGTGGCTGCTTTTCTTTCCATGCTGCAAAAAGGTCACATTCTCCTACCTTTGTTGAATATGGGTTAGCTGTGTCCACCACCGTCTTTCTAACATTCGTGCGGGACTCTCACCTCTGCCCCTGCCACGACCCCCACGCGCTCTGCCTCCTCGTCCTCTGCCTCGTGTTGGAGCAGGAAGTGCTACCGAACCCTCATCGGAGTCCATGGCAACATCTGCAGGCTCATCTGATAAATCCAGGTCACCACGCTCCAACCGATGAGCTCTGGCTCTGCTAATAGCCTGAGAAACCAACAAGTATTGAACACAGGCTCTTTACATTAGCTGAGAGTTTGGCTGACTTTCCTACTTACTTCTCTGATGTCATTCTCTTCTTCAGTCGTGTTCTTTTTGGAGTCTCTAAATTTCTGAATCTGAAAAAAGATTCCACATTATAAGGATGCACATGAAAGCGGCTTGCTGTACTTTCCTTTTGTGATGCCTTTTGGTCTGCCTTGCCTCTGCGTCGATATCTTGCTCTGTGGACACAGCTCTGCTCTGAAGGTGCCGTTGTGTCTTCTCTAACTGGTAGGTGATGAGCTCCTCGATGGCATCCTTCTCGTCTTTGTCCACAAACTCCTGAATAGCTTTACCCATGCCCTGCTCGGTAAGCAGGGACAACTGCACCTTCTGTGAGGACATCACCCCAACACACACACCCATATAGTCTCATCAACAGATAAAGCACAGACAAAAAAAACACTGAAATCTTATAAGTGATGTCGGCATTGGATCAAATGTTTAACACACCTGCTCAGCTGCTTCAAAGTATTGTTTAACCAGGTCCTCCACTCGCAGTCCCTCTACAGCCGCTGGTTTCACTAGCTTGCTGTAGTCAACGTTGAACTCATCTAAAATATACAATAAATAATTTCACAAATGTTATCAGTCCTTTGTGACTCTGGCAGACATGTGGTAGAATGATGATGGAGGGTAAACAAATATTTTATAGCACATCTGCATTATTTTGAGCACAATTTCCACATGTTTATAATTCATCAGTTGCATGACCTCTCATTTGCAAGCGTGCACAACTACGAAGTGTATTTGTTCATTTTCTACATCTGATGTTCACAATTTTATTGCAGGCATTTGAAGAGGATAGCAAAGTGAGATTATCAGGGTAAAGCTAGTTACAGTTAGGAAAATCTGTCTTTGAATAACCTGCTAGTTTGCAAGTTGTCCCACTTAGAAATAATGCAAGGGTCTGAAATTGTCATCATAGGTGCATGTCCAATGTGAGAGATATAATTTAAAAAAGAAAATCCAGAAATCACAATGTATGATTTTTTTTTAATAATTATTTGTATAATACAGCTTCAAATAGGTATTTGAACACCTGCAAATATCAATGTTAATATTTGGTACAGTAGCCTTTGTTTGCAATTACAGAAGTCAAGGGTTTCCTGTAGTTTTTCACCACATTTGCACACACTGCAGGAGGGATTCTGGCCCACTGCTCCACACAGATCTTCTCTAGATCAATCAGGTTTCTGGGCTGTTGCTGAAAAGCATGGGGTCTGTCCGAATTTATGTGCTGCATCCTCCGAATTCCAGATTCAAATGCTGATTACGTCATAGTGCGTCGCAGAGGTCTGGTTGAATTCCAAGACTCCTCGTTATGCCACCGACAAATCTGTCCTTCTTTTTGCCCGATTTGAAGGATGGGCAAACTTAAGACGGGCCATGACATGTGCTGGTTTAAGCAGGGGAATCTTCCGTGACATGCATGATATCAAACCATGACATGTTGGTGTATAAACCAACCGTAACCTTGGAAACGGTGGTTCCAGCTCTTTTCAGGTAATTGACCAGCTCCTCCCGTGTGAGCTGATTTCCCACCTTTCTTAGGATCATAGAGAACGCACGAAGTGAGATCTTGCATGGTGCCCCAGTGCGGGATAGATTGATACTCATGTTTAGCTTCTTCCATTTTCTAATGATTGCTCCAACAGTGGACTTTTTTTTCACAAAGCTGCTTGACAATTTCCCCATAGCCCTTTCGAGTCTTGTGGACGTTACATTTTTGTTTCTAGTGTCTTTGGACAGCTCCTTGGTCTTTGCCATGTTAGTAGATGGATTCTTACTGATTGTATGGGGTGGACAGGTGTCTTTATGCAGCAAACGACCTCAAACAGGTGCATCTAATTTAGGATAATAAATGTAGTACAGGTGTTCAAATACTTATTTGCAGCTGTATCATACATATAAATGGTTAAAAAACGTCCTATTATTGTTGCTTTCCTGTCTTTTTGTTGACATGTCTGGAGAGAACTTTCTTCTCGCAATTTAGATGATCGCCATTAAGCAAGAAAAGCAGAGAAGATTTTCTTTTCTTTTTAAGGGCGGATATTATTTCAGGTGTGGGAGTCAGCACAGCGATCTACTACGCAAGGGATAGTTTAAGGATCGGCAGGCAGAGAAAGTGAGAAAATATGAACATTTATAAATAGTAAAGAAATAGTTTGTCTGAGACTTGGTAAAGGCCATTCCGTGGGGCTAGATTTTTATATTTAAACTAGTTTTGATTTGCATAGTTTTGTTTGCATTTGCATGTTTTTAAACATATATTAACTTTGATAAACATTCTGCAGAAATGTATCTAGCCAGAGTCCCACCTTTGATGTTCTCCTTCTGCTCTCGCTTTCTCAGGAAGTGAATTATGTCTTTTGGGTTAGCAACACGGTCCACAAACTTCTGACTGAAACGAGAGGTGTTGAATGTTTCAAAACCTCCACTGTAGTCCACCTAGAAACAAGAACAAAAGACATTTATTTGAAGATAATGCCCAATTTCAAGGTAAGTGCAGACCTCAACTCACCCTCAGTCGGATTAAAGGTTTCTCTGGTGTGAGTGGACAGCCCAGTCTTTCCCTCTCGGCTTCTTCTAACATTTCTGAGACCTACATAGAGAGAATTCAGGTGGACAAATGAGACTTAAGGTCAAGTATAAAAAGAGAACAGTACATTTTAAAAAGACTATTGTTACCTTAGCATAGCAAAGGTTCTCCACTTTCTTCACAACCTGTGGAGTATCAGGTGTGAAGAGGTCCTCATAGTCAGCCAACACGACATCCTGAATGAAAAACTGGCGGACTGTCTTTAACGGGATCTTCTGCAGGTTCATCTTACGACCTTTCACTCTAAGCAGCCCTATATGCCTAAAAGTCAAAGGCTTAAGGTAGTACCTGTTAAAAGTACAATCAGAATGTTGTGCAGTGTGTTTGTTTACTTTTTGGCAGCTTCTCCAGGTGACAGGGATGTGGCTACAGAGCTTCCTGGCTGAGTCACATAGAAAAGCTGTTGTTCATTTCTAGTTGGAGCTATCAAACACTCATGTTCATGGCCCCACACCACCAGGTCAATAAAATCATCCAGAAACTGCTCAGGGATATAGTTGGTGGGACCGTGTTTACTCCTGAGCAGAAAAAAAATATATCAAAATCCTTCAAATAAAGGTTATTTTGAATATAACACACCATTTACAGTTTGACTATAACATCATACTTGACATATGCATTGGGATTCAAATGCAGTACCTTAGTACCTTTAAAAAAAATCATTACATTCAGTTGCCTCGAGTCCAACTGTGTTTACACAATCACGTATAAATCTAGCCGGAAGCCTCATAAGGGGACATTTGTAACAAACGGCATCATAAAGACTGAGCATTACAACATACAAATCAGCAGTTAAGTTTGCTATAAAACAATTTCCAAAGATCTAAACATCCAAGAAAGTCCTGTTTAAGTTCAGAGAAAATATAAAGAGTATGGTGCTGCTTCAAGCCTATCAGGACATGGCGTGGTCCTACACTGACATGCCTAACAGAGACTTATACAAAGAGAAGCAGCCAAATAGACCATGGTAACCCATGGAAACAAGGTTTTAAGAGTTGTCCACATTACAAATCTGGGTTTAATGTAAGAGTATCAAAATTAAAGTCACTTTTGAAATAAAGCCATATGTAGGGAAAAAAGCAAGTGGATTAATGTACTTTAGAGGGTCAAAAAAAAATCAAACCTTTAACCCAAACGCTGGAGAGACAAGATGGATAAAACTAAATACAGGGCAAATATTGAAATGAAACCAGTCAGAAACCACAAAACGTGAGTCTTTTAAACATACAAGAGACTAAAGGGGTGAAGATTAACAGCCATTTGTGAGTTAAGGCGACTAATTAACAACAGATAAGTCTAAACACATGATAGTTATGCAAAAAGTTGTATTTATCCTTTTATTTAATAATCTCTGTTGGTCTAAAATCTTTCTCTAGCTCATTTTAATTTTTTGTTTTCTAATTTGCAAAAACATTGAGGTGTTTTTTAAGAAGGCACTTAAAGTCTTATTGACTAAAGACTTTTTACCATATACCTTCAAACTGTTCAAATAACGGATGTTTGGGCACACACCTGTTTTGGTGGATTGCAAAGAGGTTAAACCACTCATCTTGATCTTCTTTGGGTCGAAGCATTGTAACCTGGTTGTTGACAAACATCCTGTACAGGCGCTCATCTGGGATAGAACCTTAACATAGATTCATACATAATTTAGGTAAAAAGAGCTAAAGTTATATCAGATCCCTGAATAAAAGGACCAGTAGAAAAAATAAACTTACCGAGACCATAGAGGGCCAACTTGGTGCTACCTTTCTGCAAGAGGATTGGACTGATCTCAATCCTCTCCACAGAGTGAGAGTGCCCAAAATGGTTGACAAGACCAGAAGCGCTTAGGAGGTCCAATGCACACAAACCTTCCGCCTTAGAATAAAGACAGGATAAACATGCAGACTCAAACTTGACAAAATATATACCCAATCAAGACCCTGATTTATTTCATATAGTTCTTGTTTTTTAGAGTAAAAGTAACTAACCCCAGTTGGATCATCATGGTTGCCATGAATACTGAACACAGGGATGGAAATGTTCAGGTTTTCATCCTGATAGTTCACCCAGGGGAACCTACAACACATTGAGAAATACCTTTGGTAAATAAACAGCACTAATTGAAAACCCTTTAAGAGCAGCAACAAAACACTGACTGGGTTGTGTTGAAGTTAACGGTTTGATCGCTGAGGATATTGAAGGTCACAGGGGAGTCTCCCATGCAGTATTTCCTCAACATAGAGATGCAGCTATGGAGGCATCTTCTTGACGGTTTATTCTCATGAAACAAATCCCCACCCAGCAGGATGAAATCTACCTAAATACGGGAATACATATAAATCAGGCATGTGAGCAACAGATAAACATTTGGTTTCACATTGCATCCTGACAACTTCCATATACCTGATTTTTCTTGGCACATTCCAGGATTTCATCCAGTGTGTTGTAGGAGTCATTTCCACGGATAGCGTCCTTCTCAAGGTAACCAAGATGAATATCTGTGGAAATCAGGATCTTGAATGTGTCCTCGTCATCCCTACAAAAATAAGACAAATCTATTTAAAAACTACAGCTCGTCAAGTCAAACTAAAGTGTTAATTTTATAAAAATGGTTCCCTATAGAAGTATAACTGCTAAGTATTACTGTCAGATTACTGCTAAGCTAGGGGCACAGTTCAGATTGTACTGTTAAAATAAGACTCATTCAGTGGTACTGCTTCAACTATTACCAGTTAGAAAAATGAAATTAACCTGAAGGTATCTTAAGAATTGGAACTGGAGAAGGCATTTGTGGGAGGCACTCCCGGAGGCCTTGGGCCCTTTAGTTAGGACCATTCCATCTCTCTACAAGCGGATCAGGAGTCTGGTCCACAGAGACCCCTGTTGCATGTTGGACTCCAGCAGGGCTGCCCTCCCTCATCGGTCCTGTCCACAAATGTTATTAACAGGATTTCCTCCCTGCTGTTTGCAGATAATTTGATTCTGATGCCTCTCCTGCCAAGACCTACAGCACGGACTGGGGCGGTTCACAGCAGAGGGTGAAACAACCGGCATGGGAATCATGTTCATAGTTCTCAACAGTAAATAGGTGGCTTGCCCTCTTAAGATTGAAGGAGAGTTTCTTCCTCAAGTTGCAAAGTTCAAGTATCTTTGGGTCCTGGAGTGAGAGTAGAACTAAGCAGGAGATTGATAGATGGATAGGTGTGGCCGCGGCTTTAATCACTGCACTGCTCTGCAGTTGGAGAGGGAGAGCTGAGCCAAAAGGCAAACCTCTTCATTTACGAGTCAGTCTACATTATTACCCTGAGATTTTGCTCATGACTGAAGGAAAAAGATCCCGAATTAAAGCTGGTAAAATGAGCTTCCTTTGCAGGGCTGCTAGATTCACTTAACATGGAACTGTCATTTATTTCTTTTTGCTGCCTATTTTTTTTATAAAAAATATAAATTGCATTTGTATCTGTGTTAATTGTTACCTCCTTCTAAACATGTTTGTCAAGGCTAAAGTCTTCCCCCACATGGCAAGATGTATGATTTATTCATTCAACTGTTGAATTACATCAGAAATGGATATCGGCAGATATGTTTAGCCCAGGCATCATAGAGGAAAAAACTAGATCAGTGCATTTCTGAGAGGAGCCAGATGAGGGGGCTAGGAAGTCTGTCCCAAATGCACCCTGCATGCCCTCCTAGGGAGTTGTTCCAGGCACATCCCCCTGGGAGGATGCCCAGGGGACAACCTGAGACACGCTGGAGGGACTATGTCTCTTAAACAGACATCTGTTGTAAAATTAGCAGTAAATAAATGACCTATATATTTTTCTTCCTTTAATCTAATGCCAACCAATAAAATAAAATTGCAGAGGTTTTTTAGAGGAATGTAGTAAATTCACAGCATAACAAACCTAAAACAAAACACATCAGAAGGATGAGGAATTCGAGTGAAAATTTAAAGCAGGATTGCAAAGCAGTTTTGCAAGCTGTAAGCCTAAAAGTTCATGGGCAGTTTATTTAAACTGAAACTCAAACACTGATCTCACCATGAGACACAGTAGTGGCAGCATCATGCTGTGGAGATACGTTTGCTAAAATATAAAGGGAAACTGTGCATAATGGAAGACTTACAAGGTGTTCTCTGAAGACATGACTATAGAAGAGGCTGAGGGACCAATTCAAAAGTTGGCACATCAAAGAAACCTTCACCTGTAGAGAACAGAAAAAAAGACAATCCAGTTTATGTAGATTTTTGACACGCTAACAGATTTTAAATACGTCAAACTATATTAAAGCATAGAGCTTCTTAAGACCTATTCCTGCCAGAATATTTAAAATGTAATTCAGCTGTCATGAAACAATGTCTATGTTTATTTAGAAGCAACACTTTGCCTTGAATAACTTAATATATTATATTTAAGTCAGATGAAATGAGGTTGTTACTGTTCTAGCTATTTGTTAAACTATATTGACTATAAAGCTATTTATAAACTGCTATTCAAGACAGTAATTAAGCAGACATGCTATTTAGATGGGCATTTAAGCAACAACCCTGGTACTTAAATGCAGTTTATATGATTTAATCATCAAATAGTAAAATAAACAGTTTTGTAAACAACTACAAAAGGCTACGAACTGTCAAATTCTAAGAAAGTATGTTACGTTTTACATATGAAGTAAAAACTACTAAAGAACTTAGCTTAAAAGAAAGGTATTCGATGCTAATTCAATCGATGTGGTCCTAAAACTGCTAAACTGGAGTGAAAGCTATAGCTAACGTGTAACTGAATGGTTATTTATCGTGAGGACGAGGGTTAGCAGTAAAGAAAGCTCAGAAAACGGTGTGGGATAGTGGGACAAGCTTGTGCGCGAAGACACTAGCTATATTTAAAAATTTATTTGTAAGGCTGGAGTACGCAAAACATGCAAGTCTAACCACCCACCTCCCATGAAGTTCTGAACCTTAAAATCCCGGCAACTCTCGCAAAACCTGGGTCCACTCCTTCCCGCAATGCTCTTGGTTGTTGTAGTTTCTAACATGTTTGCTCGCTACCCGGATATACAGCATTCTCTGGGGGAGAGAACTACATTTCCGCTAAGTTAGGGGTTCGCTTGTTTTACTATAGTAGGAGCACCGATTATGCTTTCACACATAGAACGCATATCAAAATATAGAGACAAAGATACATTTGCGTGCAAATCGTAGGCCACATTTGAAGACGCAAACAAAATCAATCAAATAAAGTAAATATGGAAAAGGAGATAATGGCGTATTAAAGGAATTTTAGGGACAGATGGAGATAGGGAGGAAAATTTAGTTATTAATAAAGCATTGTTTTTATTTTTACATAGGTGGAACTATAGAGCTATACACTCATATACAGTAGGTGGCAGTATGCACCTATAAGTTGTTTGCAATCTGCCAATCTAACAAAGAACAAGAAGAAATCAATAAAAAAATTTAACTTGAAGTTGAAATACATAGTGATAATAAGCGACCATTTAGTGTTTATCATGCAATCATTTCTGCATTTTTTTTTATATGATCCTATATTCTAGTCTTAGACGTTGTGTTTTTATTAACAGTTAGCAGAACATCCTTATAAAAAGCAAAGGAGTCAAGACCTTTGACGTTTTGGCTTTTCCGTATTACGATTAGGCCACTTGTAAATAAATAGGAAAGGCACCCATTCAAGTATCCATTGATTTAAATAAACTAAATTTGATTCGATGTGTAATAACGTCAGCTTTGAAGTACAGATTATGGTAATTTAAAGCATACACTGCAGCTTCCGAAGTGAAGTTGCCACTCGCAACATGGCGGCGTAACTGACGTATCCCCTCTACCGGGCAACGCAATGTAGCGGTGTATAATTCGCTCGCCAATGAGAGCCTTCTTGTGGATCACTTTTTTTCACGTTTACACAGGGAGGCTGAGCAAGCAGCAGAGCTTCGCTAGCTTCTCCTAATTTAAAAAAGGCGTTGTTAGAACAACCTTTAAACTATTTTAATATTTTAAACGCTTATCTTCCTTGGGAAGAGGCAGACTGTATCGGCTGTGTATTAATGGAGGTACCTTCGAAAAAACCTGCAGCAGATTCCACTCGACAAAAGGTAGCTCTACTTTGTCTCAGCTGGCTAAATACTAAATGTTTCTTCCAGCAGTGGTTGCTTCTTCTTAGGAAACCCTCTTGCACCTTGAAAAACATGTGGTCAGATTTGATATTTAGCTCAGTGGTAAATCGAGAGATGCATTTTTATTGTTTTTGTTATTTTATCTTATTTACTAACTCAGAAATAGCTTGTTTGAAGTGACGCTTAATATGATGCTGGGGTTTTTGTTTTTTGTTTTCTGCAGGCATCACTTCCAGCTAAAGGGTCAAGTAGGATAGTGTCTGACACTTTGTCCCTTCCATCATATAAAGCCTACCCTGCTTATAGACCCCTAATCAACACTCTTGTGCATCACACGCCCCAAATACGCTCTGAGTTCTCATATCATCCACCTTTACCCACCAAAGCCTTTCCAGAGAGTAGAAGTGAAGGTAATGTTTTTGTTGAAAAAGTTTCCATTCAGTGTGTTATGTCTCCATGGTTACATGTGCAATATGATCCCACACTTCTTGAATGTCTCAGCTGCTAGAGCATCATTGTATCCATTCAGTCTTTACTCCAATCTATCTAGCTGTTAGGGCTTACATTGATCCATTTCTTTCAGCAATCTTATCCGCCTTGAGGAATCTTCAAGAGAAGATTAGGAGGCTGGAGCTTGAAAAAGAGCAAGTACACCTCAGCCTCAGCACTTTAGGGAAGGATGAGCGGCGAACAGATCAGCAGAGTAACCGTACTGCACACAGACTCCTAAATGATAAGGACACAGAACCGAAAGCAAGGGACCAATTGAACTGCAACCAAGGTTTAAATTAAATAATTGTCTTCAAATATCCTAGTTTGATTAGTTTAACACAGTATATTCATTTCTCACATCTTTTTTTTTTTTTTTTGCATTTATCAATGTCCCTTACTTGCAGTTTTGATAACCCACCTTGCTGCTGCAGAGGCTCGTTGTGAGAAGCTGGAGAGACAATTGGAGCAGATGAGGAGGATGTTGCGCAGCACCAGGACAGAAAAGAGGAGTTTTTTTAATCAGCAGGTGAACTTGGAGTTATTGGTGTCTCTTAAGAGTTGGATGCTTTAAAATGCACATAATATTCTGATCCGACCGAACCTTTTTTTTGCAGACTTTTATGGAGAGAGTCGGTGCAAGTAGTCAGCAGCCTGATGAAGAGTCAGAGCATGCACAAATGGAAAAGCTGGAAAAACTTGAGCAGGAATATCTCAGACTGACCAGCACACAGAAAAATGCAGAGGTGCGTGTGATCAACTAAAAAATGATCAGGGAGGAGAGTTTCTGAAGCATGCATGGACTTAAGTGGCATCCCACTTTCACAGATGTTTGTAGTTTTAAGTAGAACTGAAATAATGAATTGGATTAATATTGATTTTACTCGATTATTGAAATAATCATAAACTAATTTAGTTATCAATTAATTATTAACTGGTGCATAGAGACTCTAAAACATGCATTTAGCTGATAGAGAAACCCAATTAGAGCAGTAATTATATGAAAATTGTAAAAACATTTGTAAACATTTTGCATTTAAGAAAAAAAAAATACATTCTCCTTTGTCAGTATGCTCTATCCAGAACTCCTCAAGTGAAAAAGTTTTAGTTTCCCCTGGTTAAATTCTCTAAAAATCTTCTTTAAGGAACCTTATGATATCCAATTATTAATTGAAAAAATTCTGAACATAATAATCAATTAGCAAAACAAATGTAAGTATTTTAAGAAGGGATGCTCAATTGTATTGCCATGCCGTCAATATTTGCTTTCAAATTAAATATCCGACATTGGTCGTTCCACCGACATATTTCACTGATATAAAGGGTAATATTTTATCAAAAAACAAGTGAGGATTATGTCTGCAGTAGTAGTAAAGTAGAAGTAAAAACAGTGTGGATGTGCTTTAAAGCTTTAGAAACAGATAGCTGCAGGACAGGAGGTGGAAAATCACA